TTGAAACCGGAGATATTTATTAAATTATAAAATTTGTATTGTATCATCTATATCTATAAAGAAAGCTTTTTATCTCTTTTCATGAAGCCACCTAAGCATCGGCATGTTATTGACACATCATATTTTATTTAGATTTTATAATTTTCAATTTAAAATTTTGATACACACATTAATTACATTTTTGTATAACATATTCAATTATTAGAGGAATTTGAAAAGTCATTTTCCAAATTCTAAAGAAAACTAAAAATCAAAAAGTTTATATTAATATAGTTAAATAAAATTTTAATAAGTTTATCTTTTAGATCAAACAAAAACTAATTGTAATTTAAAAAAAAATCAAGATATTAATTTGTAAAAGGAAAACGATATTTCATGTAATGAAACTACTATTTAAACTAATCTAGAATAAAATATATTTTCCAATAAACTAAGACGTCCAATTCAAAAGTCATTGTATGACAAAATTGTTTTATAATTTTTTCATTTACAAGAGAGCTCTTTTATTCTGTTAATTTTATAGATTAAGAAAAAAGAAAGGAATAAACAAACTCTGTAATAACTTTTTATAAATGGAATCTTATGTCTAAAAAAAAAATGAAAGTTTAACATTATGAAAGTTAGAGATCAAACGTTACAACAAAAATATATATATAGTTGAAGAGATTTACATCAACATAAAAAACGTAATATATGTTAACTAAGACAAAAAATATTAATATAAACAAAACGTAAAAGAGTTAATTTTTTAATAACAAAATATTAACTCGTTAAAATACCATAACTTAATTAAAAACATACATAAAATTATATACATAAAATAGATTTTTCAAACAATATAATATATTTCATTTTTAATTAATTAAATAATTTTAATAAAATTATGAAACAAAGATTCGCGCAACGCGTGAGCATTTTCTAGTTAGTTATATAAAAAAGACCCGACGAGTTTAGTGTCATCATGGGTTCTATTTAAAGCACAACAATTTATGCTTCAAACATCAAACAAGTTCACTTTGAAAGATCAAAGCATTGTGTTTAATTTTGGACTTTGTAATGACAATCACTGCGATGGGAAAGAAGCGTGTGGTTCTAGGTTTAACAATCTGTATTGTTCTGTCAAGCTTCCATGAGGTAAATAAACCACAGTTAAATTCCTTTTAATTTGCTTTACCACGATCG